TGCTTTTATAAAACACACACACAGAGCCCCACCAGAGTCGCCAAAATGTTTACAGGAGCATGAGATTCCTTGGGTGGTGGAATTCTAAGTGATTTTATTTGTGTGTGTGTATGTGTTTCCCTATATTTAGTGAGTTTTCTAAAAACACACTAATCTCTTTAATAGTAAAACATAACATTACCCTTTCTTTTTTTTTTTTTTTTTAAGTGAGCGATATCTGGGGTCACATCCCAAGAGGAGGCCCCCCCACCCCCCGTCTGCCTCCTGCAGCAAGTCTTCCCTCCCTCCCAGGCTTGGCTCCACCCACAGCGTGACCAGCAGGGATCCTGACAGTCCAGTGTCCCGCCCCCAGGGGGGACAGGAAGGACTGTGGAGTCTTCGGGCTTATCTCCCGAGCCAAACGTGTCCCTCTCCCCACCCCAGCCCGGCACCCCTGTCCTGCACACTCACTGCCGGAGAAGCTGCCGCCCCTCCTTCCACACCAGCGGGCTGTTCTCCAGGGTGACCGACTCCACAGGGCCATTGGAGACTGGAGAGTGGAGACAAAGGAGGCAGACTGTCTTAGGGCAGTGCCACGTACCCATCACCTCCTCCACCTTCCTCACCCTCAAACCCTCCTCAGTCACTACTGGTCACTGTCACATGTCCTGCCGAGTCCCTGCCTGAGGGCATCTGAAACCTACCCTCACCCCTCCACGCCCTCTACTCTCCTGGGGTCATTCCCCAAACCACCCCCCAGACGACCTGCAGACTCCCATCCACTTATGTTACTTTGCCACACAGGAAGCTGGCCCCGCTGTGAGACAGCAGGCAGAAGCAGACTCTATACTTCAAGTCCGGCTCTGCCGCTCACCAGCTGTGTGACCTCGAACAGGTTGGTTTACCTCTCTGAGCCTCAGCTTCCTCTTCCGAGAAAGTCAGTTAATAATAGTAGCACCTAGCTCTCGGGATTCTTGAAAGGATTAAATGAGATCGTCTTTTTTACTCATCAACTACTTACTGGCTAGGTGCCCGGACTACAAAGACCCCTGACCTCTAGGACTCCAGTCCTGGTGGGAGGGGTCTGATGTAAACAACAACATTACTGTTAACCCAGCCCTGAAGGCCTTGATGGGTCGCCCGGCCCCTCACCTCCACTGTCCCACACCACCTGTTCCAGTCACACCCAGTAACTCCTCGTCCCCTCTCTCACATCGCCAAATTTCCATACACGTGTCCCTCTTCCTGGAACACCTGCCCTACCTACTTGTTGGTGAACAAGGAGCTTAGAATATTAGGGACAGTGTTTGTCTGTGTCACAGAGGGACAGAAGGCAGGACTGGCCTTCTTCACCGCAATCCAGCCCCCTCCCCACTCGGGGGCCCTGCAGAGCAGCCCTCGAAGGGCGTGAGTGAAGTTCAAGCCCTCCCCAGCCCCCCGGGCAAGTCTGCTTTCTGTGGAGCGAAGAAAGAAAGAGGTGGCCCAACTCCGCGCAACTCCACCACACTGAGCTCCGTTTCGCGGGGTGGGCAAGTCAGGCGGATCTGCAGGTGGGTACCTTGTTCTGCTGGTTCTGATTTCTTCTCCCCTGGGTTCAGGTCCGTCCCAAACTTCAATTTATGGTATTTGGCCCTAGAAGAGCAAATGATCAACGGATGACAGATGCAGAGGAGTAGACAGGGCCAGCACTCACCTCAGGGATCCCAGATCCCAGGGCCTCCCACAGTCCACTCCCTGACCACTGAAGCTGAGCCCCCTCCCCACTCCCACCTCACTCCACCTTTAGGAAGCCGCCCTGGTGGAAGAGGCCACACACGGCACTATGAAGAACCCACTCTTTGGAGTCAGGCAGACTGTGGTGCTACCCAGCTCCAGGAGTCCCTGAAGAAGTCCTTCCCCTCTGGAAGCCTCACCTGTACCCATGAGGTGACTGGAAGGGGTCAATGAGGCAATGAGCATACAGCGGGGGCCACCATCATTACGAATATTGTTACTAGCGCTGATCCTGAACTCCACCTACCGTGTCTTGTTCTGTCTCCCTGCGCTAGAATCACACAGTATTGGGTGATGGGGAAGAAAACGCCGGATTCCAAACCTCCCTGGGCACCCAGACAGCAGGGCTCACCTTTCCTGCTTCAGCGCATATTCCAACATCTTGATCCGCCGCACCAGGTCTGTCTTGAGATTCTCTTGCCCTTTCCTTTCTCCCTGGAGGAAAGCCACCTGAGCCTGGGGGGATAGAAGGGAACAGGAAGACAGCAGGGCTCAGGCTCACTGATGTATGTCCCTCACTCAGCAAGGACAATCAGCTCCAGCCCCCACCCCCACCCCCACAACGACATGCAGCAGCCACGTCTTCAGGCGTGAAGACCCTGAGCCAGGGTTCAATGGAGCAGTGACAGGGCATGCTGGATCTGTTTCCAGAGTCCCCTGCCATGTGACCCACCATGAAAGAGCTGAGGAGGAGTCCTTAACCCTTAAAATTAAAATGGGTAACTTGGCCCCTGCCTTTTGGGGAGAAATCAGATCGGGGATGAAGGTGGGGGAGGTAGGCACGAAGAGCCCCGGGCTCCTTCTCCCCCACCCTAAGGCAGGTGCTGTCCCCTAGGTTGCTGGTGGAGGTGGTGTCTCACTATTTCTACCAGAGCATCTGTCTCTGGGAGGCGTAGGAAGCTACTTCGGGAGCTTAGGGACAAGAGTGGGTGGCTCAGCTCAGCTCCCGCTCCAATGCAAAAGCTTTACCACCCAACCCCCACCGCGGGGACCAAGCGTCCCACTGGAGTCTGCCCAGGGTGAGCGAGACATGCCACAGACATTACCCAGGGCCCCTGCCAACCACTTCACACCGTCTGCTGGCATGGCTACCCCAGTCTGCTCTGGTCTGTCAACAGGTCTTTTGGAGACACTGGGCCAACGGCCTTCGAGGCAGGATCCTGGCCCCTGACCATGTTCCAGAAGTCCTGTGCCAAAGCCCTGAGAGCAGGGCTCAACCCTGGCTTCTCCCCAAGTGCTCCACTGTTACAGGCTGAGACAGCCTGAGCTCCAGGCCGGGCTCGGCCACTTACTTGCTGCATGATCTTAGGCAGGTCATCGGCCTTCTCTGAGCCTCCATTTCCCCTTCTAGAAAATGGGGCTCACGAGAGTGCCTGCCCCTCATGTGTTAAGTTCTTCTCAGTCCGAGGCCTAGCACAGAAGAAGGGCTAATAAATGCCGGCTCCTACCTCTTATTATTTTTATTCTCCCTGTCCGTTCTTCCGCAATGCTGAAATGGGCCCAGTTCTTTAAGACCCAAGCCCCATCAAGCAAGAGATGTCCATGGCTTACAGGCCTCCTGCCCCCACAGGCAGCTGCATCTTCCTGGAGCCAATCCCCAAACATCATGTGCTTGTTGGAGAACTTCAATGACTCTAAGAAGCCCCGGGGTCTGGCCACAGACACCTTTTCCAGGCCGTGCCCATTCTCAAAGCCCGGCTCTAGTACTCTAGGTTCTTGGCAGCCTCTCAGATGCCCACCCACACTCTCTCCCTCTCCTTAAGGCTCGAAGGGCCCAGAGGACCTACCTGCCCAGGCACTTCGGAGTGTGGCACAGCTCTGTGCCCGCAAGCCTACTATGGCCTCGGTCCTGCTCCAGGGACCAGGTCTCTCCCTCAGGTTAGCTGAGAACTGAGCATGTGCTAATTAATGCCTGGCTCTGGCCAGGAAACGGGCACTCATATATCTCTGGTGGGGTCATACATCGATGCACACTTCCTGGAGAGCAATTCGGCCATATCTATAAAAATGTTAAATGCACACTCCCTTTGTCCTGACAGGTCCACTTCTGGGGATGCAGCCTACAGGCATAACCGCAATGTAGGCTTCCTTCGAGAAAATAAAAAGGAATATACGTGCATTGATGTAAGACGAAAGTATCATGCATTCGTTCATTTACGACACCAATATTTACTGAGCCCCAACTGTGTATCAGGTACAGGAGCAGATAGAGGACACAGCACTGAACAAGATGGAGTGCACATTCCAGAAGGGGGTGTGGGAAAAATAATGAACAGATCGCTATATGTCACCAGGTATGCTGTGGGGGAAAAAAAACCCCATCTATCCATTGAGGGAATGGACTTTTCCCCCCTTCTGAACACTTTTCTCTCTCTACACTTTAAATCAACACATACGCACATAAATACCTAAGGGCAGACAAGCAGACTCACATGTGGTCACCATCTTAGCAGTCTGAATTTCTGTCCTTTTTCACCCAAATCCACCCTGTCCAGTCACTTTAGAAGGTGGAGAAGAAAAGCTCAATCACCAAACATAAGCCCCCAGTTACTACCTCCTCACTGTCCTCCCTACCCTCTGGGGCTTCCGTAGTGAGCCTTCTACTTCCCAGCGCCGGGACAGCCTGCTGAACACCTACATCCATTCGACATCCAGCACTGGTGACTGCCTGGACAACCAGGTCCTACGTGAGGCACTGGCCAGTAATGGAGAAGATGAGTGGTTCCTGGCCCCACAGAGCTCTCAGTATGGCGCAGGAGACAAGCAGGAGCATGGACAACCAACATATGGCGTGACTAGGCACGGTGAGGAAGCAAAGAGTGTTATGGGAGGAGGGACACCCAACCCGCTCCTGGAGGTTAAGCAGCACAGTTCAGTCAAGACCTGAAGGCTGTTAGAAGGTGGCCAGGGGAGTGGCAGGTGCTGCTGGCAGAGGACAGAGACAAGAGCTGCATGGCAGGCTTATGGAACGCTAAAAAGGCCAGTACGGCCGCATGAGAACGTGTAACAGGGTTAGTGAGGAAAGGCAGAGAGGTTTGTAGGCCCGAGAAAGAACCGCACACCAAGTTGGAGTTTGAATGTTGTCCTAAGAGCACAGGGGAAGCCACGGAAGGGTTTTAAGCAAAGGAGAGATGTAATCAGTGCATGTTACAAAGACAATTCCAGCTATATTGCAGAGAACTGATGGCTGGGGGGTTGGGGGGGTGGGATGCCCACGAAGCTAAAGGCCAGTCACAGGAGGCAGTCCCAGAAATCCCAGGGAGAAATGACAGTGGCCCAGACGAGGAAGGGGGGCTGGGTTAGTGGATTTGAGGTAATAAGGAGGCGGGACTGATCACACAGGTGACTCAGTCTGTGGGGAGAAAGGGAAGTCAAGAGCAGACAAGGCCCTCACACTTGCTGGGCTGGGCCCCTTTATCTCCTTGCTTTCACCACAGCAAGCCCCGATCTCTCTTCTCCTCATTATGGTGCGAGAACCTGACTCAGCCCACTCTGCTCTGTTGTCCCCTTCCCAGCTCCCCTGGCAAAGAAGGGAGAAGAAAGAACCAGAAACATGTGGTTGAAGTGAACCAACTCAGTGGAATCCCACTGAAAGGGGAAGTGTTGGCAGCCGGTCCCTCCGACCGCCGAAAATGCCAGCAGCCAGCGCCGCTTGATCTGTGAGTGCCCTGGTGGGCTGGCAGGTAAGCCTAGGATCTGGAAGTTCTCTACCCACCATATTCACCCACTGCCACTCCCCCTGGCCAGACTGTTAGAACACACCCCCCCCCCAGAACTGTGCCCAGACGCCGCTGCCGCCTCTCCCTCGGCTGCTCCCTCTCTCCAGCCAGGCGGCACTGGAAGGGCTTCCCGAGGAGCCTGAGCAACCTCGGTCCTCCCCGGGGCTGATGGATGCTTCTCCGTATCCTGTGCTGACCTTTCTGTCCCAGCCACCAGTCCTGTCTGTTTCCCTTCTGGCCCCACCTAGCCCTCTATCTCCTGCACTCCTCCTTGCCCAGCACCAGGGGCTCCTGGCAGGGATGCCTCCCCACTGGATGCTTCTGAGCCCCTAGTGAGGCTGGCAGTGGGGAGGGGCCAGTTCCATACCTTCTCTGCTGCCACCACGCTCCCCACATCTCCCTATCGCTGCTCCTCCGTGAACATCCATCTGAGACTCCCCCGAGAGGTTCCTCCTGTCCTCGGCGAGCTCCCCTCCCCAGAAGTGCCACAGTTCTATAAACTATACAGGGTTTGTACATGACCTTTTGTGTTTATCCTGTGTTGATTTACCTTAAATGCACAACATACGTATCTATAAAATCACAAATACTTATGACTGTAACTTCCGTTTTTATTTAAATATTTTATGCTTTCTTACATTCAAAAGATCACGGTGCTTCGAGCAGAGCCACACAATCAAGTAACTCCACTTGTGTGTGAGTGTGCACAGTTCTCTGCAGCCTCTTGTGCAAACTAGGCTCCTCTGGCAGCCTGGAAGTTTCTGAAGGGCAGAAACCACACTGCCTGCTTCTCGGAATCCCCCATCTGACAAAGTCCTGCTTATTGTCAGATGGCATCTACGCCACCTCCCTGCCCCGATCTCTGGGTACCGGCAGGACCTCACGAGCGGCTGCCTGTTCTACCATCCCCCACACGCCCTCACTGAGCACAGCGACATCACAGCGGGTCCTGTGCCCAGAGCAGCTGTACTCTGCGATTTGGAGAAAAGGTACGCAGGGTTCCTCACAGAAGTCAGACACGGGCCAGGCCTTCACGGATCTCACAAGAGAAGTCACACGGTTAAGAGAAGTTAAGCGGTAAGTGTTCGAGCAAAGGTGTGTAAACTGAGGTGCCGCTGAAGGGGGGGGTGTGGAACCGTGGGGGCAACCTGAACTGATCGCCGTTTCATAAACATAGCTGTTCTTCCATTGCCCCCACCTATTCTGCTTTATACTCACAAGGAATGTAGAGATAATCACTGCAGCCATTCCTGACCAGGGGTGGGGGAGGTTCTAGGAAAGAAGCTAAAAGTCTGTCAACGAGGGTCAACTAAAGGAGCTACAGTATAAACATCCAGTGGAATGTAGTTATCAAAAATAATACGAAAGTTCTCTGTCCGGACAGGAAAAGAACACCAAGGCACGGGTGTGAAAGTCGCAAAACGATTCGTATGTGACCTCACGTTTTACACACACAGAGCTGAACTACTTTTCTCGCAGGAACAGTTGCAGAGAAGAGCAGGAAAGGGATGGGGGGGTTCCCTTTTCACTCACACACACACATACACACACACACTTCTGACACCTCTGCGTTTTTACTAATGTGCCAGAACAAGAGAAAACTAAAGTTCACAGTAAGTGATGCCGCAGCCTGGACACGGGAGAGCCTACCCAGGGGCTCTCCACGAGTTCTTCTCCAACTCCAAGGGCCACTAGGTGAGGGCATAAACACACAACTTTTCTCCCGTCTGTCTCAAGGACGAGAAGGTGGCACGGTGGGTGCTGCAGGGTGCACTGGCGTGTGAAGTCCCAGAGACCAAGATTCAATCCCAGGTCTGCTTACAACTGCTTGGCCGATCCTGAGGAGGCCACTGGGCTTCGGTGGAACATTTTCCTCGTCTGTACTGGGCAGCAGAGAGGTACAGAGCATGGGCTTTTAAAAGCCCACAGACCAGCCCTGCCACCCACAGGCTGTGATCCTAGATCAATCACGGACTGACTCTCCCTCAGGGCCTCCCTTTGCTCTTCGGATTCTTTTCTCAAAAAGCAAGGGTGGGGGAACAGAATCACTCGCCCTCCCAGAATGTTGCAAGGATAAATGATACCATGTATCTAAAGCGCTACATACAGTGCTTAGCCCCTCATATGTGCTCAATAAACAGCAGCTGCCTCCTTGCTGCTGAGAGGGCCAGGGTACACCTGCCGGGTCTCCATAATGGGGTATTGAGATCTAGCCAGATGTATGCTGGGAAAGAGCTCGGGAAACAGAGTTGAACACAAAAGTGAGGGGTGCTTATATAAGGATTCCTCTCCCACCTCAATGCCAAGCCTCAGCTACCACACAGCTAAGATCCCTAGTGGCAGAGGGTGGGGGTTGTAGAATGCTCTCTTCATTCACCCTCTGGACAAAATTCTAATCGGTTATTTATTTGGGGTCCCCATATCAACTAGACAGGAAACCGGGAACCAGAAGGGGAAAATTGGGCTGCTAGAAGTAGATACCGGCTTCTGCTAATTATACCCCAGCCCAGGAACCCTCAGAGTCCTCGTCGCCCATCCCTGGATCCCTTCAAATCCTCACAACTCTGATGCCCCATCCTCCAGACACTCCGCAAACAGACCTATACTTCTCAAGGTCACGAAACCCAGCCCAACTCCTCAGGCTCTAACAAACATCATCCCAAAGCACACTCCTCTCCCAAGCTACTCCACAAACCATGGGGTCCTTTCCCAGAAACTTCCACAAACACATCTCCTCCCAGAGTCCTTCTGAGATGCTTCTTCAACGCTGTCTGCCTGCTCTGCCAAATCCTCCCCCTGCCACCCTTCAGGTACCCCCCCCAAAAGTCCTCCTGTCTCCATCCCAGGTCCCCTTATCTCCACACTGGACGCCAGCGCACTCCAGTCCAGGGTTCTCCACCTGACATCCTATACACACCTCCCATCTCAAGGCCATTGCCCGCCGCACTCCTCCACATCCCCCAAACTGGAGTTTCCGCTCTGCAGCTCTTACATACAAGCTCCTAGACCAAGTCCCGGCCCTGTCCATGCTTCCACTCCCGGCACCCCACCCTACAGTCGACAGCCACACATGCCGGGCTCCCCAAAGTTTCGTCCTTAGAGGGGAGGGCACACATTTTCCTCCTGGGACCCCCCGAGGCCCTCTTCTCCTCCCGAGTCCTCATACAGGCACCTTTCATTCCCCCCGCCCCCCCGCCCAGTCCAAATGCTCTGAAAACACACCCGGTCCCAGGCTCCCTGACTTCCTCTCCCCACGCAAGCCAGATCCCCGTTCGACTCACTCTCGCCCTCGGCGGCTCCCAAGTTCCCCCGACGCCCCCTCTCTCCCACCCGAAGCCCATCAAGTTCCACCTCCAACCCTCACCTAGTCGGGGACGGGGGTGGGAGCCCAGCGGCACCTTTCGGGCTTTTGCTCACTCCCAACGAGACCCCCCCAACTCCTCCCACCACTCTCCGCTGAGTTCTCCTGGGCTCCCCTCAGGGCCCGAGGTCCCTCTCCAGGGAACTCGTCTGCGGGTCCGCTCACTCCCACTCCAGCTTCCAGCCGGTTCCGGTCCCGTGCGCCCCTCCTCTCGGCCGGCCCCTGTCGGACCCTCCCGCCCCGGGGCCCCCCTCCCGCCTCGAGCCGCCGGGTGCCCTC